TGTGATTCATCGTCTAGTGCGGCCTTGATTCATCCCTATATAAAATCATAGCTACTCCCACCGCTTACCCATGATAAAGGTTGTTTACGCTTATGGGAGAAAGTATGTGTCAGTTTGCTGATACCCTTAATTTTTTTATATGGGGTATTTGGACACGATAAATCGATTGGAGTTGGTCACAAAGGATGGGAAAATCCATTTTCCGCCCTACAGCCCTTAAAAGTGCCCATGCTGTCGTCAATACCTTTTTGTAATTGCAGTTAATAAAACCGCTAAAGGTCATTTTATTGCAAATCTATGTAATCATGAAGGTAAAGTATTAAAATGTTTTCCTTGTATCATCTAAAAGGTGTCACTTTGATAACCATACATAATAATATCTTTAATCTAGCTAATTAACGCATTTATGAATTTAATGTTTGATTCAATCCGAGCTTAGCCCGGTCTCCTGATACATGCTATTATTTGATCAAACACATTTATTCCAGCCGTGTAGCGGCAAACCTAAGTATTTATTAAAGCAAATTCTATTTTTATTGAAACATGGAATATTTATGACTCGTATTTAGGACTTGTTTGATAACATATAAAAGATCCAATCAAATTGAAAGTTGTTTAGTCTGCAGTTTTGCTGTGGCGAAGTATGAGAATTTTGTAGGCTAGGCCTAACCTATCTTAAATGGAAAACATTTTTTAACCGACTTCCCCACTACCAACAAAAGGAGGAGGTTCTAAATTTGTTTGTGGCGATGTTTTTTTTTCTATGTATGTTCACCAATTTCTCTGTGATTCGTTTACCGATCAGTGTGGTTCGACCACCAAAATAACCAGGAGAGTTTCTATTTGGTACCTTATATATTATGTTTAAGTATAATATTTGTTTAGGTAAAAAATTCTGAAAACCTTAAATATTCAACATTTATTTTGTTTACATTTGTGCAGATTGTTTACATTTGAGCAGAGAAGGCAATAAATAATAATAACATTCCTACAGCTGTTAGTTGAAACCATTTAAATGAAGCTACAGACAATTCTTCATGAAACAGTTGCTTCATATTGATCAATAAACTATTTCTTGCCATGGAGCCTAAAGGAATTACATTGAGAAAAATGCATTTTGTTTTGGTTACTATAAAAAATGTATTTCAACGTTTGACCTGATTTGTGTATACAGTAATTCTGTTTTTAGTATTGAATATTCTGACTTACAAAAACATGTATGTTTCAGTGAATAGCTGTATGATATTGACAAATAAAGGTGTATTGTGAAAACCAAAGCATTCGTAAAACAGGCCTAAATATAAATCAAATGCAATTATTCCTTACACGACCTAAGAAGTGTGACAGTGCATAATCGTCAATTGTCTTAAAAGTGTTAAATATTTTAATTAGCCTACTAAACATGCATTTGCAGATGTGGAATGTTTATTGATATTCTCTACCCAGTTACTATATCATATCAATACTATTATGCCTGCTTCGGAAAGTCCTAGAGGAAGATGATTTGCAATTTCGACTAGGCTATATCTTGAGCAAACAAAACCCCCTACATGACTTACACCACTTTTAGCTCAACCAATCTTTCATATAATATTTTCCAAATGTACTATACGAAATGTACTATGGTGTTAACGACCAATTTTCCACTTTTGAGAGATTTTTTAGTGCTGGTAGCTGAGGAATAACTTTCATATTGTTCCAAAAGGCTTGAGACGTTACTGTATTTCTTTTTATAATGTAGGACACCTATTGCAGGAAACGATTATGTCTGACATTTCAATGTATCTAGAAAAGACAATTAATTGTTCATTAGGCCTAATGTAATGGACAACTCTTTCTTTCTTAAGGAATATCTAAAGATGTTTATTTTCATACCCATCGATAAGTAACCTGAACAGGTGACTCAAGCAGTATTAAAATAATGATTGTTCTGTGGAACTTTTGATTGTTTCAAACAGTTTTGCTAATCAAAAATCCTCAAGTAATTAATATATAAACAATTATACAGTCACTAAAAATCATGAAATAATTTATTTTTGTAAAAAAATACAACCGACTTCAAACGCTCTAAAAAGAATGAAATAATTTCAATAAAGTAAACTTTTGTATTAGGCAAGCTCACGTATTTCAAGTCGGCGCGGCTCAAACTGCAAATATGATTGAAATTAAATATTGTGTGTGTATTTTGAAAATCAATAAATTGTAGCTGGATAACATAAATATATCAAAAACATACTGAACTGTTTTGTTTATATATTAAAGGAAATATTTTCTTGTATTTGATGTTTACTTCAGAATAAATGCATTATGAAAATAACACACACAAATGTTCTATATGAATAGGAAAATAATTTAGTTTGATTTTTTGATAGGGAAAAGAAGCTAGTTTAGTATTAAAACGTTACTTTTCCAAGTTAGAAACATTTAAATGCGTTATAATCTTTTTAAAGATACTCGTTAATACCACTATAATGCCGATCTCTGATTACGGTAATAAAATAACACTTAACGCATAACTATTAAAAAGACATGCAGATTAACACCTTTAGTTATAGATAGTCACCTGCAATATGGACACCCTCTTTCAATTTTGTATCAAAAATCATCATAGAGCCGCGCCGACTTAAAATGCGTGAGCTTGCCTAATACAAAAGTTTACTTTATTGAAATTATTTCATTCTTTTTAGAGCGTTTGAAGTCGGTTGTATTTTTTTACAAAAATAAATTATTTAAAATTTTAGATATTAACATTACTATTTTCTCATTAAAATCCCTAGCTTATTGTTGTTAATTGAATATTTTCGTATCCATAAGTCCCATAAACGAACTGTTAAACGTATATAATAGGAAATTTAATTGTCTACAACATTGACATTACATATTTTTCGCTAAAAAGCACCAAAACGGAGATATATGCGAAAATCTCTAAAAAAAGTACCTGTTTTTAGGTTTTTCCAATATGGCGGTGGACGCGGAGGGGGGAGAATTGTGCGTTTTACATTTTAAACACCTACTTACCATCCTAGACAACATATAACAAATTTGGAACGACCAGACAGTTTGTAAGTTAACCCCCCTATTTTTGTCTCTATTTACTGGCCTATAAGTGGACTTCAACGCGGCCGTACTTGGCACGTACCAACACACGTTTATTTTACGATCGGAATTAATTCTAAAATAATAGAGAACCACAACAGATAAAAAACAACCGATCCGACAGATTTACGTCCAGGCTGCGATACTACTTAGTTCAAGGTCACGAAGTGTTTCGTATCAATAAACACAACTAACTAACTAACTCATTGATTTTGAAACCAAATTTAACGACAGATTCGTTCACTATCGTTTCTTTTAATTTAAACAAAACTTTAAACGAATTACCAAATATTAAAAAATAGTGAAATTCAAACTAACTTTACGTAAAACTTAAAAGACAGTAGTGTAGTATCCAGGTTTGTTTTAGTAATGCTTCTTTCACATGAAATGCAGTTGAATAATTAATTTCACCCACTTGTCGGCTTTTAATCAGCTGGTATGGAGGGAAGGTCTAATTGCGTACACAAACAAGGACGCTGCTTTAATTAACAAATGTTCCAAAATTATTTCTCTAGAGCGGCTTGTGGTAGCTTTCCTCATAGTCCGGTATTTCATCAACAATAACCACAAGTTCCTTAAAAAAACCTGAACACTATGTACAGAAAAACTTCCAAAAGCTTTTTTCGGTAAATTTAAGGATAAATGATTTATGGAATTTGCTTAATCACAGAATAATAATAATAACCACAGAATAAGCTTTCCTCATAGTCCGGTATGTCATCAACAATAACCACAAGTTCCTTAAAAAATCCTGAACACTATGTACAGAAAAACTTCCAAAAGCTTTTTTCGGTAAATTTAAGGATAAATGATTTATGGAATTTGCTTAATCACAGAATAATAATAATAACCACAGAATAAGCTTTCCTCATAGTCCGGTATGTCATCAACAATAACCACAAGTTCCTTAATCCTGAACACTATATAGGGTACAGAAAAACTTCCAAAAGTTTTTTTCGGTAAATTTAAGGATAAATTATTTATGGAATTTGTTTAATCACAGAATAACCACAGAATAATAATAATAACCACAGAATAATAACAAAAGTGAGTAGGGCTTTACTTATTCTGTTTTTTCGTTTATCGAAATTTTCTACCCGATAATTGTAATTAATATTACCTACTTATCCCATACCAAATATTGTTTCAAGCGTGGAGTTAACTTTGAAAGCCCGTGCTCTTATTTATGGTCGTTATCTATACTTATAAAAGTCAAATATATTTTATTATAACTAAACGGTTTGTATTTAGATCTTAGTGTACAATATTTACAAATGTCAAACATGATATACATACAAATAATCATGATGTATCTTTTGTTGATTTCACGTTGTATTTAAACTACTACTCTATGGATGATTGGAATCTATGTACACAGGTACATCTAATTCATCACCTAAAGAATTTACTTATTGATATTGCTAACTTTTGAGCAAGTTTAACAACAATCACTGATATGCCTAAATGCATGATGCCAAGTAAAAGCTCATATTTTTGTATTATCATCTATACTATGTTAAGTGTTCGTGCTTTTTGTCTGTATCAAATTCACAGCATTTATTACCATATGTTTAAAATAACAAGATTGTTTACTTTTTGTTGTCAGTAAGTTTTTGTTGTTTTTACGTGTTAAAATCAAGTTTCGTGATACTAACTGTTGTACTTTTAATTGTATAAGTGAATACACGTTATTATGTTTTAAATTGAGTGTTTATTTATTGTGAAACTGCTGAACATTTTAACCAAGTAAACACTACACTAAGATTTAATTTCAAATGTTGTGCTGACATATACTCGATTTTAATCAACACACTCCAATTTTCTCCCAAAATATTTTACTTTCATATACACAGTATACAAGTATAAATGAATAGACCGAGTTTCATTGATGTCGGTGGGGGGAGGTAGCGGGAAAACGGGGGAAACATCAATTTGCGCGCGCGGCCCTCGCTCGCTCAGTCACTTCAGTGCTATCGCCACTCTAGGTTGACAGTCACTCCGTACTTGCACAGTCATCGACGATGAAGAAGACTGTGTACGAGCCGAACGCGGCGGTCTCGCGGAAGTCGTACGTCAAGAGCTTCCAGCAGTATAAGGACCTCTACCAGAAGTCCATCGACGATCCTGCCCGGTTCTGGAGTGAGATTGCCAGTCAGTTCCATTGGGAAGTCCCCTACGACGTGAACAAGTTCCATTCGTACAACTTCGACCTGAACAAGGGTCCGATCAGTATCAAATGGATGGAAGGCGCGAAAACCAACGTGTGCTACAACCTGCTGGACCGAAACATCAAGAATGGGATGGGCGACAAGATAGCTTACTTTTGGTGAGTGCATGGTTTAAGAGGTGATTGAATAGCAGATAGATTTTGTAAGTAGTATCCAGGTGTTTAAGTGTTACTTGAAATAGGGGTGTATTGGGTTACGATTTCACAAAATTATAGTGGAAGCTACCAGTTTAATTGGCATAACAGTATTGTTTTATCCCAGTTTAATTAGTAAGTGTTTTCCCCAGTTTGCAAGGTAAACTGAATGAAGCTAACGCTAGTTCTCAAGTTGTCATTCAACCCATATTAAGTTTCCGATTGGTAATGTAATTAAATTCAAGCTAAGGCTTTTATGACTTTAAAAATACTGGTTAGGTTCCAGAATTCACGTGGTAAAACGATTGAAAATAAACGAATTTAGAGGGATAATAGAGTGTAGATAAATATATTTGTATGTATCGTAGTCATACAGACGGTATCAGGAATCAGGCATCCGATTTTGGAAGGAGATAATGAACTAAGGTAACGTTTATGTGACTTTAAAAATTAAGTAAGTACCTAATTCGGAAACTAAATGAACTGTTCACCTTTTTAAGGAAAGCTATATAAAGTACCTACTTAATCGAATGTAATTTTGACACATTTAGATCAAAGAAGTCCAATAGACCTGAACATTGTTTTGTTTTCTACAGGAGATAGAGTGTGTTATTTATTTATTAAAACTTAGTGCTTAGTTGGAATCCCATATACCGCTCCGTTCATAAAATTAATACATCGAAACCTCCAAACCCAATGAGATCACAGTGATTCATCCCTTGAACGACAATACAATAAAATTTGTAAATAATACTAGCTAGTTGAAATATCTTATAACCTTGTTTATTTTCACATTTTACATTTTTATCAAAGTTCCCTATAAGATATGAACCATGTAACATTATTATTTAGACCACACAAATCCACGAAATAAATTTAAACAAAACGATAAAATAGATATGTATAGTGTTAAATAGGTCAATAACTAAACGATAGGCCGTAATGAAACCAAATTACTTCACGTCTTTACCAATCACGTTTGCCCGCTATGTAACAAAAGCTATGATAATTAGATGTCAAAACTAGGTCCTATGTGCTTCAAATCATTCCTTAGTGTTCGGGTTCATGTTTAAAAATCAATCTGTTTAAGCATTGTAAGTGCTTGGCTTACCTAAACGTAAACAAATCCATTATCGTCGCCTCATTTAGCGAAAAGTGAATGTTATAGCATGCACTAAAATACGTCATGCATAGGCTAGTTTAAACGGAAAGGCGTTAACACATTCCATTTAACAGATGGTTAAACTAACTATAGTATAGGAAGCATGTAGGCTACGGTATAATCTATCCATAACGAAAAGTTATAGGAAAAACCACGAATGCTAGAAAAATACGTCTTCGTGGGAAAACCTATAGCACTCAGAAATACGAAATATGGCATTTAGACTCTCTTTACCGTGCAGTTAAGCAAAATAACGATTTTTAAAATAATTTTAATGGTGATCAGGGCTGCACTTTAGTAGATCTGTCCTACACTCATTCGAATAAAAAAATATCGATCCCTATTCTATAAATCGATTATTTCATTCGGTTAGTTAGGTTAACCTAACTAACCAAACTTGATATATTGAATGAAATAATCGATACATCGATCGATATATTTATTCGAATGATTGTAGGACAGATACTAAAGTGCAGCCGTGATCAGTATTTACCCCCCTGTTGGTTTCAATTATGCCTAAAGTTGATTGCATACGGTACTAATTACTATTTTTAACTTTTTAAGTAACTTATAACGTTAATCGTTTCCATACTTTCTATATCAACAAGGAGAATAAAAGTTATTTGTTTGTTACTTTACATGGAACCACCAATGGCACCAATTGTCTATAGGCTTAACAATTAACAATAGAAACACAAATAGATCTCTACTCTAAATACATTAGAGCTATCTGAATGATTACTACAATATTTTAAGGACGACCAAAATGCATTACAATGCTCTTTTACAATGGACTTATCTAGTCTCTTTGAAAATGAAAAAGACTGTATTGCGAAAACTAATTATGTCTTGAAAATTACCCCTGTCTTTATAGCCGGGTTTATGACATATTTACGCTCCCAGTTTCGCCACATAGATTGCTATAACACTCCAGGGCTTGCGGAAATGTGGAAATGCATGTGATTTTCTTCGCTGGCTGCCCACTTTCGTTCATATTACGTGATGGGCGCACGTCATTCGCGAGGTTGAAGAACATGCAGTGGAGGACAGTTGTAGAATTAAAATTGTTTCTTAAACTTTCTCTGGTTATGTAACATTGTAAAGTTAAGGTTGTGGTACAAATGTACTACTGAAATGGGAAGAAGGGTTATTCGGGATTGAATATGCAAATAAATTTGTATCGTCGTTCATTATTTACGGAATCAATGATCAAGAAGTTATTTCGTTCATTATTTGTGAAGTAAGCCTCAAAATCTGAAACTGTAGTAGCTCAAGGTAGAACTTTAGTAATTTTCAAAGAGAGTTTGATATATAATTGGTATTTTGTAGGGAAGAAAATTGACGCTTTAAAGACAGATGATAACCCCCGCCAAATTGGTATTACAACTCCACCATCCACACTAATTCGAAATCCATTTTTGCGATTAGACTAGCAATAAATCCAATTTTCCTCAAATTGTTTGTAAAAATTTATTATTGGATTGTAGATGCGTAAGTACTCAAACTGCAACTGATAGTAATTGGTTTACGGAAGTACTCGACTTAACGCCACTCCAATGGAATTCACCATTTACCATCGTTCCATCCGACCAATAACTAATTTGTATCCTTCAGAAACGCAAGTTTCAATATTTACACGAAAATTTGTTTTCCACATTCTTTTTGCTTAGTAAATCTAATACAGCACCACACAGAATAGGAGGTTCCTTCCCTGTCTGTTAGCATATCTGTGTCGGTCTATTTGGTGCGGGTAAATGCAAAAACTACTGAACTGTGCTGAAATTTTACGTAGAAGTAGATAATGTATCCAGCCAACACATCGTCTTTTCATCTCCTTGAAAATCTCTTGGGAGTCCACCACGTGAACATGAAAGTTGCGCCGCGGAGCTTTTGGAAGTAATTGATTGGCACTCTTAACTATTTACACTTACCTATTTTGAATGCGCTCCGATAAAGTTAATAATTTGATTTTTACCTCACTGCTAAAATGATTAATACTGATAATGAATTTTAATCAAACCAAAGAGGAAGTTATAAAACTCAAGCGGTATACTGGATAATGGATTGGTTGCTACTGTTGGGGCTGTATTGTTTTTCTTCTGTGCCTCGTTAATTTTCAGAGCAGTGTCTTTAGAATCAATGCCTTACCGTGTACATTCTTCGGGGCATCGCCTTGGTTCCGTATTATTTTCATAGCAGCCGCGCAACAGTTGTGAGAAAACAGCTGTACTGTAGTTTGAATGAACAGACCGCTTTTGGCAGATTTATCCCGGCTATTTTTGCATGTAGACAATTGGATCTGTTCCCGCTACGCGGCGTTATCAGCTGCTATCTGTCAAGGTCACACGGTCGGCGTGATCTGTCAAGGTCGCGGTGCGGATATCTGGGTGAAAGTTTGCTCAAGGTCGAAGTCTCCCGGTCAGATTTACTGTCTCGACTTACTTCCGAGGCCAATATATTGATCAATTGGAAGGATAAGTCACTCCTTTGTGGACACGCTTTTATATCACTGCTAAATATCAAGTAAAATACACCACCATTTTATATCTCTGAGATACCAATTATTGCAATATGACATAATTGTTAATCCTTAATCGTCTGAACTCCGAAGATCGGGTTTGACCCGCAAAACCCCTATGTGTCATTGTCAAGTCTTACGACGTGAAGTTGTCGCTCCTAGGAGGTTGTCAAAAAGTCTATAAAATCGATCAGATACACAATTACGAGAAAATACACTGCCTCGCCATACGTCAACCTGCGGGTTCAGAAAGTAAACTAAAAGTTTCTTTGGCAAACAAGTTTTTTACCTATTGTATGGCAAAGTAAAAAGCTGTGTCATGTAAGTACTGTATTTTGTTATTTAATTCGTGGACAGATATTGTGTTGCTTTTGTTTCTAAACATGTACTTATGAATTGGTGTGATTAAATAACACCTATTAAAAATACTGTGGACTAAAATATATATAAACAGTGTTTTTAGTGTAAATATATAAAATATTTGGTGCTCTATTTATCATGGAAAAAAGGCAAAGACTATTGAATTTTGGTTTATAGAATTCCAAAGGAGGAAGCTCCTTACAAATCAGAGTTAGTGACGTTTATAAGACAAGACAGATGGAATTGACTGTTCACTGTTCTGAATAGAACTGAGCTGTCAATTGACCTTAGATGTATAACTAACTGTCATTGCAACAATTGTAGTAATTTTTGCAACAAATTCAAGTACAATAAAGTAGTGTTGAATGTGTGCTAAATTTGAATACTTTATTTTATCCTTAAAGTTAATAGCCAACAAGTTTGAACGTTAGGGTTAACTGAACAAATATAGCTCTTCGTGTGTCTCATTTACATTAGATAATAAGTAGATTAGGTACATCGAGGGAGAAAACAAAACAAAACTCTTTCTGCAATGCAGATAATTTATGCCTCAAATGTCATGCAAAGTGTAAAAATTGTCTACGAAATACATAGAGATGTCTAGTTTTAGTTTGGCACCAACAAAATGTCAGTACAATTCTTTATTAGGTTTTAGGAAGGTTTTAACCGGCAACAGTTGATCGCAGAAAACGATGAAAACAGCTGATCCATAAAATATAATAAATGTTTACAGAGGAAAATTCTAGTCAGAGATGTATAGTTTATTTCCAACAACCAATGTCAGTACAATTCTTTAGGATTATTAGATTGAGGAAGCTTTTAAACCGGCAACAGCTGATCACAGAAAACAATAAAAACAGCTGATCCATAGAAGCAAAAGTCTTGTTACATGCGTGTATGAGAGATTATACATCGCATGGGTAATTTT